ACAATTATAAGAACTACAAACCAGAAAGCCTTAACTGAATAAGGCTGCATGGAGGCAACTATTAAAACTCATGTAAATCTGAGATCTAAAAAGTGGGTATAGGACCAATCTGTTTTCTTAGTTTTTCTTCAAATAGTTCATATACAAAAAAAAAAAATGTAAAATTTAATAAACAACTTCCAAATCTTCAGATGAAATTGAAACCATCCCTTAGAAAGCACACAGGCACAGAATATTTTATATAAGCTTGTATTGAAAATAAACCAAATATCCATTACGCTTGTACATTTGATAGTTACAAATTATAATGTACATTATAGATACCTACATCTACATATGCACACAAACTGGCTATATTTACTTTAATGATGAGATTACCTCTGTAGAATAAATGACACAATAAATGTGCAACTGTTTTGAATGGTTGCTATTTCCATTTTATGGTCAGTGATATGTCTTCATTGTTTTGAAAATATAGGCATCTGAAATTAAGTAGTCAACGGCATTCTTCTATAGTAAGTGCTAAGGATGTTACACAGGAACAAAAACACTTACAAAAGCATCCTCTGCAGTCCTTTGAAATAGGGGAAGAGAAATAACAGCCATAATTTGCTTTAAAAGTCATATAAAATAGTTGCCTTCCTACTGATAATATCTTTGCTTTAAGCATTTCAAATTAATATTTTTCATTCGGAGAATTTATAAATGTACAGGAAAAAAGTGACACTCAAACACAGACCCACACAATTGTTTATGTAATAATAGGAGCTGTAATTTATAAGATATCAAGTAACAATGCAAGCTTATTACAACTATCAGTGGCTTCTTCATCCTAAAATGTTTATATTTATGCCTTTTGATTAGTTGTTAGTTCTAATTTTTTATATTCATTTTGTTAAGTATTTGATTACTTAAATTTAAACATTCTTCCTAGCAGTGCCTTGAGAAATTTTTAAACTATATTCTTTCCTTTTAAATATCTTTTTATTCTGATCATGGTCTAAATTCTGGATATCTGGAGAATCCAACCATTTTGGGATATATATGTTTTTGAACCACTTATTTTAGAATAGGTAAATTTATTTGGAGCTAAAAATAAAGGAGAATATCAAGGTTAAGAAACTTCAAATTGAGAAAAAATATCTGCCATCAAATAGATTGCACTGTGCATTTACAATGTGAAATACATCAGACATAAGCACAGAGGCAAAATAAGCACACTAAAAACTATACAAAGCTGAGTAAATAATGAAATAACAAAAATACTAAACTAACAAAGGGTTTATATACAAGTTTTTGTTCTAAATTATGATTTGTGTAGCTTCTGAAACTAGCTGGTTAGAGGAAAGAGGATTTACTAAACTGAGCAAAAACTTAAGGTAACGGATTTCAGAAAGTCTTTAGATCTTGGAAGTGCAAGAATTAAGTCATGGTTTTCAACCTAGGCTGCATATTAGCATCACCTCTACATGGTCACAAAATACCCATGTCACTGCCCCATTTCCAGAGACTCTAGTTCAACTGTTTGGAGTGGAGAATATAAATAATGCTATTTATTAAAAGCATGCATGTAGTTCTAATGTGCAGACAGGGCTGAGACCCACTGAACTAGATGAAAGGATCATATCGAGAAAGCAGATGACAAGCTCGGGGTGTGAAGATCTTGCATGGAAAGTATCTCATCCATGGTAATATGAAAAATATCAGTGACTAAATTATTAAGATTGAGCACATTCTCATTTTAAATAGTCCTCATATAAAACCAATTCAACTTTCCTTCTTAATCCACTAGGGATTTAAGAATAGTGACATAAGAAATTCAAAAATGAATTTAAGAACGCAAGAAATTTCATAATCAGTCAATCCAGAAAGTCTTCTTTCACTGTTAGGGAATGAAAGGCCAGACCCTCCACCCCTTCTCTGGAGTCCACTTGCTTCTGAACCTCATTCTATATAACTAAATGTTCTCTTGTCTATCTTTTCTCTCTCCTGGGTCCATCCCCCCAATATTTAAATATTCCCGTTTCTCTCCTACCTTAAAACACATGTCCCTGGATCCCCTATTGTCATCCTTGCCCACAATTCTATTCTTTCCAGTGTCTCCTAGCTCAGTGTGCAACCAAGACCATTAATGCAGCTACTGAGAATCCTGGGAATCTCCCTCACAACAAATCACCTAATTCTTATGTGATACTGCCTCTTAAAAAATCTCCCAAACACATCGCCTCTCTCCACATCCACTGCTACTTAACTGAGTCTGATCTAGTATTGCCCCTGTACTCCATGTGTGTTGAGAGCTTCAAACTCGGTAGCCTCAGATCCTCCTCCACGACTGTACTCTGAGTAGTCTCATCTTAGGCAAGTTACAAAACGGGGCTTCAGGTTTTCCATATGTGAAGTCCACATTTTTTTTTTTTTTTTTTTTTGAGACAGAGTCTCGCTTTGTTGTCCAGGCTAGAGTGAGTGCCTGGCGTCAGCCTAGCTCACAGCAACCTCAAAACTCCTGGCTCGAGCGATCCTTCTGCCTCAGCCTCCCGAGTAGCTGGGACTACAGGCATGCGCCACCATGCCGGCTAATTTTTTATATATATATCAGTTGGCCAATTAATTTCTATTTATAGTAGAGACGGGTCTCGCTCTTGCTCAGGCTGGTTTTGAACTCCTGACCTTGAGCAATCCGCCCGCCTCGGCCTCCCAAGAGCTAGGATTACAGGCGTGAGCCACGCGCCGCCTAATTTTTTTTAACAGACCTAGGATTGTTGTGAAGATCCCTAGTGAATACTAGACAAAAGCAGTTTAGCAAACTGTGAAGGCCTAATAGATGGTAGTTTATTAACACCTACATAATCAGTTGAACTACTTTACATCAGAGAGGAAATATTAATACTATAATATTCAGGGTTAAGTCAAAGACTTACAAAGTCTTGTTTATCTGGCCTCCACCACCATTTCAGTCTCATCTTAGACTCAACACACCAGCCTCACTCTTAGTATAAGCCTTCACAATGCTGGTCCCTTTGCCTGGAATGCTCTCCCTGCCCACCTTGGCCAACTAACTGCTGCTCATCCTTCAAGTTCTGGCTTAAAATTTAGTTTTTCAAGAGGCTACTCTGACTCCCCATTTTTCAATCCCACAAACATTAGGTCTCCCAAATCTCTCTTTTT